GCTTTCGTTTTCTGAAAAGAATTTCTTTACTTTTTTGCACGTTTAGAAAATCGATTGACAAAAGCTAACTTAATTGCCTTGGAAAAGTTGAAATTTTTGCCACAGCAAGGCATGGTTGTCAATGGGACAATGGTAGACACAAATAATCACAACAGAGATAATATTTGTATTTGGCGGAATTCAACTAATACCATCTAATACGTTCTTTAAACTAATCTCCCAACTCTTTGCCGGCAAATTATTAGAAATTTGTTTATTCCGCCATCAAACATGATTGAATATGCAAATTAATAACCCCATTCGCAGCCTGTATTGAAACTATGGTTATTTTTTTAGAACGACTGATATTTTATTTACGTCGGTCAGTTTTGTCAAATGATGAGACGAAACGTTCGCTGCCTAATGAATCACTGACTGAAACTGTCATTGATAACAACTCCGCGATAAAGTTGTCCGGCGCGACGGTGACTCACAAAGGGTCCAACAAAAACACATTCCCAGGACGGCCAAAGACAATGGCCATAAAAATGTCTTCGGGCAGACCTATCTCGTCTATTTCTTTGTTTGGACGTAGACATAGAGTGGCGCCACAAAACTAGGGCTAGGTAGTTGGACAAAGGAATTCCAATCGAATTTAGTTTTTAGTAAACTATGATTAAAACGAAGAGGGACAGTAAAACCGTAGACAAAACTTACGAAAAAGCCAAAATCCAATAGAGGTAATAAAACTTTGAACAAACTGCAAAAACGTCCCGACCTCGTTCATCTACTGATTCGAATCGTCTAATTATTCTTCGATTGATTAAGCTATAGTATTGATTCATTAGGATAAGTTTCTGCAAGGAGTATTGATTCATTAAATTGTCTGTCAGGAATATTGATTCATTAGGATGATAATTGTAAGCAAGAAGTATTGATTCATTAGGATGATAATTGTCTGCAAGGAGTATTGATTCATTAAGATGACAATTAACGACAAGGAGGATTGATTCATTAGGATGATAATCGTCTGCAAGGAGTATTGATCCATTAGGATGATAATTGTCTGCAAGAAGTATTGAATCATTGAATCATTAGGATGATAATTGTCTGCTAGGAGGATTGATCCATTAGGCTGATAATTGTCTGCAGGGGGGTTGATTCATTAGGATGATAATTGTCTGCAAGAAGTATTGATTCATTAGGATGAGAATTGTCTGCCATGAGGATTGATTCATCAGGATGATAATTGTATACAAGAAGTATTGATTCATTAGGATGACAATGGTCTGCAAGGAGGATTGATTCATTAGGATGATAATTGTCTGCAAGAAGTATTGATTCATTAGGATGAGAATTGTCTGCCATGAGGATTGATTCATCAGGATGATAATTGTATACAAGAAGTATTGATTCATTAGGATGACAATTGTCTGCAAGGAGTATTGATTCATTAGGATGGCAATTGTCTGCAAGGAGGATTGATTCATTAGGATGATAATCGTCTGCAAGAAGTATTGATTCATTAGGATGATAATTTTCTGCAAGAAGTATTGAATCATTAGGATGATAATTGTCTGCAAGGAGGATTGATTCGTTAGGATGACAATTGTCTGCAAGGAGGATTGATTCGTTAGGATGATAATTGTCTGCTAGGAGGATTGATCCATTAGGATGATAATTGTATGCAAGAAGTATTAAATCATTAGGATGATAATTGTCTGCTATGAGGATTGATCGATTTTATAAAAATCTGAAAGTATTGATCTATTAGAATTATAATTTTCTGCAAGGAGTATTCATTTAATTTTTTCTCTATGCGTAACGTGACAAAACCTGCACGATAATTGCAATTCATAACCTAAAAGACCAATTGAACATAAGAGGTTTAAGAGTATATAGAACTACTAGCCGCGGTTCTGATTATCGTGGGAGGTCCAGCTGGAGCTGACCAGCTGGAGTGGTCGAAACCACGTTCTCAGACCACGAACTCTGACGAAACCCAGCAATTGCTGACCTCCGGAAGTGATCAAGACGCCTGATCATTGGTCTAATGACAGAGTCTGGTGTAAGGTTGGATTTCTCTCAACCGAGAGTGGTCAGAGTCATAATGACCTCAGTGTTTACTGTTTACAAGGCTGTGTTAACAGCTCATCAATATAGTGTATTTGGCTCTGTTTGTTTTGGACTGGGATATCTTTGTTTAATGGAGGCTAGTTGGTCTTGGTCTTAGATGATTCGACGACTGTACCCAATGCTTTGTTGGAGTTTCTCATAAACGTCTGAGCAATTGAATGGCTTATCTGTTATTTGACAAATTATAACAATTTGGGATTTTGTTTAGGTTACGGAAGGGTTTAAGATAACTTAACTACATAATCCATAAACAAATGATTAAAATATATAGTAAACTAGATTGTAAATCAGTAAAACTGTTCTAGCCTAGGTTGCTAGGACTACTAAAATATATAGTCCAAAATTGCTAATTTAAGAGCTCGATCAAAAATGTAGGATTACAAAAATGTTATTTAACAAATTTGACTGAAATAGATTTAATAATAATGCTCACGTTATCAAGTAAACCGACTTGCGAAAAACACCTTTTCAGATGAGCGAGCGCACATCTCTTTCTGGCGTTTCTCTTCCTCTTCCGAGTCCAGCAAACAAAATAAAAACAAATCATATTCATCTGAACTATTGCTCATATTGACACGCTGCACTATCAGTGCCTGTGTCGATCAACAACTGACTGAGTATGGTTTTTTAGTAGGTCTCGGTAGTAAAACCATAGACAAAAAGAATTTGTAAAACGTACTTGGTAACGGCGCCCCGCGTCGCGCTATAGTGTGCGATCTACTACAGTACTCCTTCAGAGGTGCCACGGCTGTTTGAACGCACTGTAAGGTTTTGGAAGAGTTTTACATAAATTTGTAACGAACTTGATAACATTCTTCCTGAATGACCGTGTCTCTACACATCGTAATACCTTGTACAGTATCATTGAATTAGTAGACAAGACCTTCTCAACCCATTGTAAAATATGAAGCCTATTTTGATTTGGGCTTCATGTTGGTGACATTTTGACCACTATTTAACTACTTTACACGTTTCCCCTTATTTTAGGGTATATTATGAGGATTTGAGTTTACTCTTTGGTTAAAATGACACATGACTAGTCATTTTAATTGTTTGTAAATGAACGTTGCATTTTTAAATGTGTTTGGCAATGTGGAAGTTGTTATATTTTCTATCAGACTGTACAAGTTTTGTCTACTCTAGTAAGTTTAAGTATTTAGATTTTCCAACTCCACAAGTATAATCTCATACTGTTCAATATTCTGACGGGATGACGTAGTGTCGCGTGTGCCACACGGAGCGTGGACGACGGCAGAACAATAGCAAAGGAAGTATCTCATATCGGTCAGCACTTCCTGTGTATACTGCAACTGTGGCTGTGCTATGACACTATGACACTATGGCAGTATGGCACGTGCTGTGATAAGGCACAACACAACAACTCTAGCAAACTAAAGGTGAAAATGTGCTTGTACATAGATTAAAGTGAAACTGCTGACAACACATAAGTGGCTTTTACACGGCCAGGCACGGACTGTAACACAAGTTTATGGAAGGATCAAGAAAGGTTACAGCTTATCATCGACCATATAGGTACTAGATAACGATATTAGTCAGGCAAAGAGTCACATGCTGAAAAGATTACAATAAACTCGGCCAACTTTTATCCTAGGACTAAATTAGTCATTGCTGTTTTTAAATAAGCAGAAACTTGTCTAATACGAAAAACTCAGCTTCTGTAGTAACCTACTTCGAAAATATGTGGCATTAGTGTTCGCGGGAGGTCATTGAGAGGAGACAAAAGTTGACAGATTTGTACCTGCCGCTTAGTTTAAAGATCATTTAGAGTTCTTACATTTCGGTATTTACCCCTATTAAGGGCCGGGTAAGAACTCCTGAAATAAAGTGCTTGTGTACAAAAAATCAGTGGCGATGCTGAAAATTGCATCCTACAATTACGATCTTGTCATTGATTACGAAACAGGTGTCATGATAATTGGAGAAAGGTGTGATTTAAATTTATGTAAGCGAATTTCAGAACATACTGATTTAAAATAACTACTTTAAATTCTTTCCACACAAATATGGAATTTTAAAGGAAATTAAAATCTTTGCATTACAGTGACAAAACATTAAAAACTTAAATGTCAATTACATAAAAAATATTCTTTTCTGAGTTGCGTTTGAAGCATTACAAAATAACACGTATAATGTATGTATGTATTAAAGCATTGAGACGGTGTAGGTTTCATAATATAGTTTTACCCAAGTTATGTTACAAGGAAGTTACGTAACGAGCTACTGACATGCCACAGTGTGTACTGCGTGGGAAACGTACATGTCTCTGTATGGTGTAACACGTAGAAGTAATGTACTTCTCTGGGTGTAACCGAAGTGTAGAGGGTACAATCATATTTGGTATAAAATATGTTTGTTTAAACGTAATTTGATTATGAGATTCGTAGTTAATAAATGGTATCCTATACTGTTGGTTTTAGGGCTTTTCCCACATGGTATTGGACTGAAGAAGATTGGATAGTAGTTAATTCTAAATCCAGCAATCTTTTACAGGTGAAGAAGGTAAAATACGATTTAGTCCAAAACTTGTTTGTTTAAACGTAACTGGATTAGGAGATTTTTAATCAGCAATTAATTTCCTCTACGGATTTTTCTAGGTTCCTTCCCACTTGGTGTGGTTGGAAATAGATTGAACATGTTAACTCAAAATTCAACAGTCTTCCCTACTCCATTACAGCCATGCTCATATGAAATCGGATGTGCCCAACCGCCAGCGTTCCCTCCATAACGTTCCCGCGTAAACGTCCCCGTACACGTCCGGGTAATTTATTCCCGTCCTCACATGATGTGTGTAATCCGCGATGGGACGAGCTAAACGACACCACGACGAACCGGTAATGAATCAGAAGAGTCCTGGAGGTACTTACCTATCTCATCAACGACAGCGTCCAGCGCCTGCAACACAACAGAATACAACTCTCACCGGTTCACATTGTCACCGTACTAGATACAGATACTGTGCTACCAAATATTGTTACAGCAATGCTATTTGAAATATACGTGGGACATGTATACCTCGCCGCATTGATGCCTGAGAGCGGATATTCTTACCTCAGAGCATGATATTTTTGTCTCAATGTGGAATATGTTTAACCTAAGAATAATGTTTGAAATTGATAACTCAAGTTTGGAGTATTGTTAGCTCATTGCACGATACTTAATTTTAGCAAAAATCTTCACCTGCTAGTGTAATTAAATGGCATTGTTAAAATTACTAGAATATTTGCCAACAGACCTCTACTTTTTTTAAATTTTGATAATCGAATATGCAAACTTGATTGTGATTGCTAAAAACTGAAAAATATAACTAACTAGGAAGTTTTTAGATGATGCGGGGTAAAATGAGATTTTTAAATTTCTAAATTATACACTGTAGTTATGTAATAGAGTAATATAAATTTAAGAAAATGTACACTATTGCATTATTTTATAAAGTATTCCTTTAATTGTAAACCAATGGTGATAAAAGTATGAGACAATTTCATTATTTGGAAAAAGTGCGCAGGTACAATACAAGGGGTATGTCCAGCTGGAAACAACGCTGCAGACGACGTGGTGCAGCATTCCCGAGATTGTTTCTACCTTCTCCGACTGGTAACGGCTATTTCGCTACTTGGCATCTCAGAAGTTGCAACGTTCCATAGATAAGTTCTAATTAACGACTCGGCATAACTCGGGTATAACACGTGATTGGATTACATATCAACAGAATAAGACTTAAAAGTATGCAGTTGAAATCCGCGGGATGGACTGATTGAAAGAATGTAAACAAGTTTTATTGAACGCAGAAACTCATTCTATTAGAAATGCCACGACTCGGTAAAGCAGGAAAAAAGGGAAGTATATATTAACTACCAATAGAATCACGTACACACAACTTCCTCATTGAGTGTCGTTCCCTGTTTACAAACAAGACTGGACTTAATTGCTATGCCATAACACAGATGCCCGTCCATAAACAGTTGCACAGTTTGGTCAGTTCTAACACAGCTTTCTATCACTGATAAAAAGACCGCAATCTGCCCACTTTCCCCATGCACCACGCTTCATTGCTCATCCTGGCCTAGGACCATTAGAAAGATCATCAGCGACCGCAGTTGCCTCGTCAGGGACATCGTATTCAAAGCTGCAATTACTAAAAGAAATACCGGGATACAAAATTATGATCGATGAAAACAGGAAGTTGATTTACTTTAAAATATAAAATATTGAGTCACAATTGCTATATTGAATAAAACCATACGATGAAACAGATAATATAGCTTGCTGTGTATTTGGTGACGATGGAAATTATGTTTTTAAAATGTCGATTGAATGTTAGTCTTTGAAAATAGGTTGAAATTCAAGACATTCGAATATGTGTAGCGCCAGTTCAACGGTGATACAGTAATGGTGATATGGTGATATCAAAACCACGTCTTATTTTAGTGAACTGTGGTTCAACTACTTTTTTTGTGATGAATAAAAAATTGATGTGCCTACAGGGGAGGAACGGCGATTTCGCCACCTTTACCATGCAGCACAGAGCGCATGCAGGAAGAAGCCGCTCGTGCATCTCTGGGCATGACGCCATCGCGACGAAAACTTACTGAATGGTTGGCTTAGTTTAGTTAAAACTTATCACCATGCAGTAAATTTGACATTAACATTATCTGAGTTATTTTCATTGACTCACGTAATATACCTTTTTCCCATTCATTTTCAAATCGAGTTGTCTTTCACCACCCAATATTTGAAACAAGGCGATAGTCTTCAGATATCTAAGTTGTGCATCTTTATGGTTAGCCTTAAATTGGCATCTGCAGGCAATCTCGATATTCACATTCCCATACTGAAGACTTCTTCTATGCATAGAACTACTTGATCCTAGTAAACCGTTGACAGGACAGATCAATTTCCTGCAGACGGGAAGGTCAATTGGTGAGTCTAGGGTGGGCTAACTACCCACATCCGCCATCACTGCCTGAATAGCGACAAAATTGAATCCCAGATAAACAGAAAGTGGAAATCACCAGTTGTGGAAACTCTCTGTTTGACATTTCATTGAAGGTTTTGGTGAAGGTAGGATCCAAAAGAATGATAGAGTTGAAATTTTACACTTGTTGCCGCTGTTGTTATACGTTGTAAAAGGTATAGATGACCAAAATCTCTACGATTCCTGAGACACGACGCAAATCATATATCTTTAGAGGCACCCTAACATTGAGAATTCAACAGAACTCATCATGTCACTTAGGTGAGCAAAAAGATAGAAATTCTCATGACACTTCCTCCAACCCGGGCAAGCCCTGTGATACAAACCTCTCTGGAATTCAGTCGTGTGTTGAAGGTATTGAAATACAGCATGATAATGACACTCTACTTGTGACTTCATAGAAGCGTTGCATCGAAACGCACTGGTTTACATTGTCTTATTGAGGCATACTAGTTAACAATATCACTGTGATATCTATTAAACAATTCAAAACAAACAATAAAGGTAATCTTGATAAGATATCTGATTGTGTATCTGTCATGTAACACTAAAAAGAGCGTCGAGCGCCGTGAAAGTGGAATCTGCCTTTCTTTCAAAGCACATAAATATCCCCACACAATAAAAGCATTCCCTAGCAGTCCCCGGGGATAACGAGAGGGCGGGGATATAATGTCAAAGTGTGAGTGAATGCAACTCCTCTCATCCCAGACCCGCCCGTGTCGTAAACAGAAACCCGCCGAATCATTGCGTAAAATGCCTCACTCCGCGCCGCTTTCAAAACTGTAGCTTCTCGACAACCCCGCACTTCCCATACTTTGTGAAAAATCACAATATAATTAAAATCAAGTCATAGTAATTCCAGAGCACAGTGTCGTAAAGATATCAATTTTTTAAAGGTAGAAATAAATAAACTATGTTTTTAACGAATAATTATACCATTTTCAAAGAAGGTACTACTAAAGATAAATCATTTTTCCTCAGGGCTACCCGAGGTTATAACATCTCTATTCGAGGTTAATTATCTCTCACAGTCAATCGAATCCCGACCAACAAGTGCCAAACCACTAGAACTATTTGTAATAAGGTTGTTACCAAACCACAGCTACAACAAGTCTACACGGTAGGTAGAGCGGTTGGCAGAGTCAGGAGTGCGAGTAGGGAGCTGCAATCACTTAAACAAACCATACCCTTGGGACGAAGAGCAAGGATTAATTGGGTAGCGATTTCATTGTTCTGGCTGATGTACGCTGGCCGGCTGTCGTGGTGTCAGTACCGCACAACTGACTGGATAATCCAACCTAACAATGGAGCAGCAACATGCTTAACAGCATGACTTAAACCTTTGACTATTGATAGAACCTCAGAATCCAAAAGTCAATGCTAAGAATGCTCTTAGATTGGATTGATTTAAAAATCCAGAGTTGTCGATTTTCAATTCTTCACAATATGGACATGGTACAATGCCAAACCTATTAGAAACATCAGACCAAAATGTAAAACTGTAATTCGTCTCTCTTCTTTTAGTGAAGAAGACGTTTCTGGATTAAGGTATCAGACTATTCCATATCGTGAAGATAAGTTTATTATTCACTGTAACGCAAATTGTCCAAGTTCCAGCCCACAGTCACATAACTAATCTAGGACTAGTCCCCTAGGAGTTCCACTAGACATTCCATCCCCATGTTAAAGTAGTAGCCAGGTTTTTAATCAAATTTGTCTTAGTTGATGTGAGCCACCTACAGATTGCGCTGATCTAAATTACTGATTTCTGCCGATTACACGATGGGTTTTACCAAGTTAAACTGATGGGATGACTTATTATGAGCTATAGCAAATGTTGTGACCCAGCAACTATATCAGTAACAAAAAAATAAGGTACAAAATAGAGTTTTAGACACTAGTGCAATCTGTGACTGGCTCACACAACTACATTCTTTTTTAGTAAAAAATTGGCGACAGCTGATCCATATAGATGGGATGTCTTCTTCTGTATCCAATAGTCTTCTGTATCCAATAGTCAATGGTTCCACCTATCCGTATCACTACAAGTATATTTAAGCTCGCTCCTTATGAGCCAGCATCATCCCACCTTGAATAAATTGTAGTAATACAGGTGCCATAAAAGGTTGATGGTAAAACATCAACTCAAGATATTGGATCATTTAGTTCCAATGATGGATATTGTAGCGATAGTGATAGTGATAGGTTGTTCTTGTTACCTTTCACCTTTCGCACAAACTGTGTCACCTACAAAGGGAGCGCAGAGCGGTCACGCAAAGGTAAGTTCAACCTTCTGCACTTAAATACTACTAAATACAGCACTTGCTCCGGCCTGACTACAACACGAGGTCAAGCTAACTACGGCCTTTCTCATTCCATTAGAGAAGAGAAAATGTTTACATACAATAGGGCCACGCAATAAATTTATTTCATAAAGATAATTGTACAGTTTGCTTAACACAAATTTCCAGTCTTTAGAGTAATACAGCAACTAGTTGTACAATATTAACTTTGGATAGGTACTGTAAGTAAACTTCGCATCCTATTGTCAAATCTGGAGCTTGTTTGGTGCACAACACTTTTACGACTATTGACTAAATCTTTTATTCGAGGATAAGACTCCAAATGTGTGCTAAACTCTTATATCAAAAGCAGAGGATGAGAAGAAGTACCTATAAAATGGATCTTTACATTCGTTCGAAGTAAATAAAAAATTGCAAAGTGACCCTTAAATAATGAGAAGAAAGCAACGCACTCTATGGTTTACTAAGGGGTTAATTGCATTTTAATAAACAAACGAAAGACCAACATATAAAAGAATATGTTTGATCTATGCTCTTGATCAACCAGTTTTTTGTTTGTTGTTTTATTGTGCTTATTTAGTCAAAGTACTATAGTACTACAAATAAGATCCACAAAT